ATAGACATTTTCCACAGATCTAACCTATATGAAAGAATGGCATGAGACACAGCAAAAACATACAGAAATTTGTTCTGGTCAAACAATAACTTGTTGACCTTTGTAGGAAATGCTACGTGTAGGGAAAAAAATTCTTCTCATTACCCCAAAAACTGTCAAATACAGACATGGTAGCAATATGCTTTTCTTCAGTAGGGACATGGACAATGACCAAGATTGATGAAATAATGGCTTGAGCTAAATACAAGACAATCCCTACAGAAAACTTATTAAATACTGCAGAATGGTCAGTTTCATTAAAATAATCATATTATTATGCACGGATGTTTTGTAGTACTTTTTTAATAAGTTTTTTTTTTTTTTAAATAACACTCCAGTTAGAGTTTGTTTTCATCAATTTGTTACCTGAGGCAGCAGGCTGGAGAGGAGAGTGCTGTGAAAACCAACCAGAGTGCCACCCAGCCTGCAGGGGAAAATGAAATACTTAAAATACACAACAAATGCTTAAAATGCTTTAGTTTATCTGTTTGTTTGCATCTGTCTGTTTCTGTTCTGATAGCATCAAATATGCAGACAAAGTGCTTCGCAGGTATGTTGCTGCAAGTGACCAATAATTGAAGAATAATTACCCTTAAGCACATCTTGCCTCAACAGTTGCAACATACTTTCAATAACTTTTTACATACTACTTTGTTTATTTGATTAACACCTCAAGTGATTTTTAAAAGACATTTATATTTACCTTCCTAACATATCAGACAGAATGTCCAGAGCCTCTAACTGAACAGACACGTCTTCTTGTTTCCCCAGGGCACCAATCAGCTGAGAGGTAATCTTTTTACACACACTGGCTGTGAGACTCAAACCTGCCAGCATCACAGAGATGGGGTAGTTTAGGATGAGGTATCATTCCTAAACTCAAAACACAGATCTTATGGACATTCATCCAAAATTTAACTCTTTATTGGCATACAGGACAGAAGAGTCAACCAGCCCTCACCTGAGGCAGACAGTGGCAGCTCAGCGATCACGGCCTTCAGTCCCATGCTGGAAATGTCTCTCAGCTGCTCCTTATCTGACGACATGTTGGTACAGAGTATGTCCACCATGGCCTCCACCTGAGGCTCCTTCACTTTACTCACCAGAGGGGCCAGACTAAAAATCCAGAATATTGTACCTCAGTTTATGTCTTCACAAAAGTTTGTTTTTAATGCAGACATGTACATTTATATCTTATTTCATTGTCCCGTTGAAATTAAAAGAGACATCCAGTATAGATGTTTGTCTATCCCATATAAACAGTTTTAGGGTGTCATATACTTTTTACTTCTGATATAAGTTAATTAAAATGCAAATAAAATTAAAACATTAATCTAAAAGTCATATTAGTAGATGGATATTTTTCATCAGTAAGTAAACAGTGAATGAATTTTATATAACTTATGTATGAAAACACTGGTTTATGTTTAAGTGAATAATTTTTTCACATCTTCCACATCGTCTGAGGAATACATCTGTTGTAGGTTTTACCATTTTACAGCCAGGTTTTGCACCTCTCCGTTTTTGTCCTCCAGCAGTCTGAGCAGCATGTTTACCACCTTTCTCTCGCTCTCTTCATCCAGTTTAATGCTGTCTTTCTGCAGTTCCAACATCAGGTCATTGGTGGCCATAAACCTGGATGCACAAACATGCCAATGAGCAAATACAAACTCAAACACAGGTTCAAAAAGTGAGATTGTCAGATTAAGACATACATTTTATTGAACAAATTATAAAATGAAATACCAGAGAGTAAACCAGCTAAGATAAAGGTATGCTGTATTTAGAGAAGACTCAAACACATATGAAGCAATATTAAGAGGTTATCACTTATTAGAAATGTTTTGTTCTATAGGGTTTTCCTGATTAAATTGAAAGCAAAAAATTAAACTTTGCCAATGACAAACAAGGAGTAAAGCCTTTATTTTTCACCATTAAATATGCACCTTGATAGTTCTGTAATTTATATATTTTATTTGACTTTTTTATGCATTTCTGGAAAACCTGAAGGTTTTTTTTCTCTAATATTTAGTTGACGGCATTACAAGACTTGGTAAATAATATGAGCTGTGTGAGGAACTTGTAGAGCCGGTAAATATGAAAATAAAATAATAAATAAATAAAATCACCAACAGTTAAGTTTTACTTTGGAAAGAGGACACAGTGGCATTCCCATGACATCAGTCAGACTAAATGTGTCATGTCACTTTCAGAGGGTGCTGACAAACTCTTACTTTACCTGAAATCTTTGTCAGTTGATGTCATTTTCTCCAGCAAGCTGGAGATGTGGTACGAAACACTCGACATGGTGGCAATCTAACCGCTGACACCGAAGCTATGAAACTTATGATCTGTGGCAAAGCGGTGAAAGTGGAGCAAAAAGATTTACCCTGACAACATGGCGAGGCTGGTGGGCTGAAGGGAGAGCAAAGGGTCGGTGGAACCTGACACCTAGTGGGCAAAGATAAAAATAGACGCTAAGTCAGAGTGTAGGGGTTTATGTCGTCCCCATGTGGACTTAAAATGTTTTACACCTGAGTCTTTCATGTGCAAGAATAGAAGAGTTGTAAATTACAAAAGTAAAATTGAATAGATTTCTCGGGTATCTGTACTTTACTTATGTGTTTATCTTTTTACTTTTGCTAATTTTAAGAGAAATACATGTGCTTTCTTCTCACATTTTCACATATCCCTTGCTACTTCTATGATGGAAAAAAAAATGACGTGGAGTCATATCAAATCGTAACAAAAGTGGCCTTCCATGTTGTTGGCTTAAAGAACAATTACTTACAAATTTGCTGTTTTATGCAATCTAAATTTTCCTGACCTGACTGGGATTTGAGGAAAAACTACACCTTATTAGTTTTTTTTTTTTGTTGTTGTTTTTGTTTTAATTATTACTATTTCTATACCAACACAGAGCATGTTGTGAGCAAAAGAAAACAAATAATGTGTTTTGCATGGCAAGTATTTTAGACTCATCAAAAGTCTTTTCTTGGAGGTAAAAGTGACTTTTTATACATTTCAAAAATTGTATTTTTTACTTCTACTTGAATGACTGTTTCATTGCAGTCTTTTGTCTGCAATGATGACAAGTGTATAAGGGCCTTCACTTTTACTAGAGTATTTTTTCATACTAGTATCTGTACTTCTACTCCGTGACGATTTCCGGTGTGTGCAACAGGGGCAACTTCCCAGGGCATCATCTTCTCAGAACAGTCATCAGATGTTTAGCATTTAATATTATCCAGAATATTTCAAGGGGTTAATTTATTTTATTTTTTTATGTCTAGTGCTTATCGGTATCCTGGATGTTCAACATTATTGCAAATGTTTATCATATCTGGGATGTTTAACACTGTCCCTGATTTCAAGTGGTATCTCCAGAAAAGTTTCCTGTTACGTTGAACTTTAGAGATAACAGAAGACATGATGAACATCAGCAACATCCTTAAATATTAACAACAATGTTCATGGGAGATTAAATTAAAAATTGGGGACAATGTTAAAGATCCTGGACGACGTTAAACATTGGAGATAACGTCAGTGATGGCGTTGTACCCAATGTTTAACGTTGTCCTTTTTCTGTCTTTGGTCTGGTAATTTGGTCTCCACTAGCAATTTTTGAAAGACTATTTTGTTTCCAGAAACTTCATAATTTGTTTAATTGTTATATTTTTTTCTGTTGTTTTGTTTACTTATTTTGGATATCTAAAGCAAACAGGGCAACGGTCAAGCTATTGTACTATTGTATTCCCATTCCCCCTCAGTCTCCCACTAAGTAAAAGATAAAATAACCTGCACTTTTGAGGTCTGCAGAATGAAAAGCTGAACTCAGTTTCTCAGACTTTTCCAGATGAGGTAGAGACATTCAGGTTATTTTCATCATCTGCCTGTAACTAAAAACACTCAGATATTTCTGCTCTGCTGCAAAGCTGGAGCATCTGACTCCAGAGATGCAAGCCTCTAAGTAATAAAGTTTTATTTCTCTCTCAGCAGAGGAAAGTGACCTTTTCTAATAGGCAGCTTCTTATGGACTCTTTGCACGTACACGGAGACCTTGAAGAACACGGCCATATTTTTCCAGAAGAAACAACTTTGAACCTTGATAGTGAGCTGAACTTGAATTCTGACACCAGTGCTGGCCCACTTTTAAGATTTGGGGCTGGATGTGCTTCCTCATGCTTCTGAAGCAAATTGCCCGAACCATAATCTCCCCCGTTACTTGGTCTCTGACATTAACGATAACAAACACACACAATATACTTAAAAATAAATACAAAATAAGGTAAAAACATTGTCTTGTATAATGGATTAAAATATTTAGATACTTAAATGCCACACTTTTATAACAAAAATGTCAGAGAATATTGCCTTCTAGTATAAGCTAAAGTTAACGTTAGTTGCAAAGTTAAACATACTTTCTATCTGTGAATGCATAATGAGGCGTACATCTTAAAACCTTTCTTCAGCTTATTTGTTGGGGATTTGGATCAAGGTGCATCATTAATTGTTACCTTGGGCCAGTCCTGCAAGCACCAAGTGTAAAATGCCATTTTTGATAAACAGGGGAGTCTTCAGAAACCATAAATTAAACACAATTCATCTTTAAAACTCGGAGCTTGTTAGTAAGCACAAATAACCAGAGACTCTGGATAATCTACTGAAGACACTTTTGTTCCGACCTGCTTCTGAGACTTGGAAGGGGTGTTGGTGCCTATCTCCAGTGTTTGTGAATCATTTTAAATATATTAATAAATATTTCCAAAGGTCAGCCAGCCCCTCCCCATTTACAGATCATAATCAAGCAAATTGAGCAAAATCTCCATTTACCCCCAAATAAACACACACACGCACATACTGTCCTGACACACTTGGAAGAAAATTGCCTGAAGCTCTATCTTGTTAGGTGGAACTGTTCTCCGTCATTCTTTGTTCCTCCCGGTAGGAAAGAAGGTGGGACTCAGTGGAAGCGGTTTTTGGACTTGTTGCCACGTCGGACTGTTGAACCTGGAGAATTAATTTCACATATACTTGAGTAAATATTTGTAGGAGGACTAAATAACAGTCATGGTGAGTTTGAGTACTCATAAACGTAGCTGCTGTTCAAACTACGTAAGGACAACAATGATACGTATCATTAATAAGCACTGACGTCCTCGCATAGTTAGCAATTCGTTAGCACAGTGGCTAATGACAAGAGGCAAATTTCTCAGTGATTTGTGCTTAATTATGATGTTTTTGTGATTTAAAGGTTTCTGTTATTAACACAGTGGACACCTCGCATGAGGACATGATAGTGAGTATTTTTTTTTTCATTCCCGTAATATGTCGTTGCTCGAAGCTAACATAAGGGGCTAATGTTAAAGATTATCTTTATTGAAACGTTGTTTTATGTTTTTGGGCCCATTTATAACATTTATTTGTTTTTATCACTTATAAAATACTTGGTAGATGTACTTTGTAATCAAGAAAGCATATAACGGTAATTATGAAAATTTGAAGCACATTACCGTTCATTGAGGTTCTTGTTGTATTTTAGACTTGTTTATTTGAGAATCATGAAACTGCAATTATTTTGTATACGAACAACATAGTCTTTTTATTACTTTTTATTTTGAATAGACTAGTAGCAAAAAGCATTTTTTGTAGATTTTGTTTAATTTTAGTACATTCACTTAAGAAAATGTGTATCACCTACATTTCAAAGTCAGCTTGACTGTCAAAATAACGTTTATCAAGAGTAATGGGTAGCTCTGGCACTTTGTCTCATTTTAAAAATAACTTCATATCATGGAGAGTCATCTGAACGTATTTGTAATTATGGAACCTCATATTTTTACAGACTTTGTACACCTCTGTACAAGTATGCAAAGGCCCATGTCTTGTTTAATTCAATTCAATTTAAAAAGTAGTGTATTAGTATGAAAGGGAAATTTAAATAATTATTTAATAACTAAATACCAACTAAATGATGATAGTAACAATGTTTTGCTTGCTTGTTCTTCTCTTTGTTTTCTTTTTTTCTAATTATCTTTTAGTGCTTTGAATTACTCCATTTCTGAAATGTGCTATGCAAATAAAATTGCCTTGCAAAGTGGTGTGCAAGTGAGTCTGTTTTAAAACAGACCGATTTATATTTTAGTTTTTTATGATTAGCCTCTAAAGATACAGATGTAGTTTAAGATACAGAATTGTCTTTGCAAATCCCAGAATCTGAAATTTGGTTCTGGTAAAAACTGGTGCTCATTTCTTCAGTTTCATGTTTTGAGATTTTCAGCTTGTGTCACTGGTAACCAATCATAAAACAGTGAAGCATTCCTGGTTGTGTTGGTTTCAGCACGATGCCCAGATGGATTATTATGGGACTCGGCTTGCCACCTGCTCCTCTGACCGCACTGTCAAGATCTTTGATGTCAGGAATGGAGGACAGATTCTGGTGGCAGATCTCAGGGGGTAAGAAACAGAACCAGGAGGACTAAATCAACACCAAGAAAAACTATTACATACTGTCAAGATCCAAAAGTAAATAACAAGCAATATTTTTCCACTGTTCCTCTGGTCACAATTTATTCTTTTCTTTTATGCCATGTTGTTTTATGTAATTTTAAATGTTACATTCATTTATTGTATTCATTGTACTTAAGTGGAACTGAAGCCATTTCTTATGTTGAATTCCAATAATTGTTCTTTTTAGGCACGAAGGCCCTGTGTGGCAAGTAGCGTGGGCTCACCCGATGTTTGGCAACATTCTGGCTTCTTGTTCTTACGACCGAAAAGTCATCATCTGGAAGGAGGAGAATGGAGCCTGGGACAAGATGTACGAGTACACTGGACATGAATCGTCAGGTTGGTAGATAGCCATGGATCTATTTTCCTCCTCCTCCTGCTTAGCTGCTGACTCTGTGGAGAAGAAAACCAAGCCTTGTCTGGCTGCAATGTTGTTGTTAATATTTCAACTACTGACCATTTGTTTCCCTTAATGTGTACCAAACTGAACAGCAAGGTAGTTCATAAATTGAAGTTCAGGTATATATCAAGCGTATATTTAATATAATCAGTAGCACTATATAAGACTGTAAAAGTTTTAGGCCGTGTTAAATCCATCTTCCTTTTTATTATAAAATAATGCACATAGGAGTATTTCCTGTCCCTTTAGAACAACCTGTGATCATATTTCATGACAGACATCACTCGTCTAATGATGAATTGGTTCTGAGAGAATTTTCAACATTCTATGAAGACGTTGATCTTGTTCTTTTCTTCATCCCTTTGTGTCCACAGTGAACTCGGTTTGCTGGGGTCCATATGAATTTGGTTTAATTCTGGCCTGTGGAAGCTCAGATGGGGCGATTTCTCTACTCACATTTACTGGAGATCAGCAGTGGGATGTCAAGAAGATTAGCAATGCACACACTGTGAGTCAAGTGGTAGAAGTAGTTTATTATTCCTGTTATTTTGTTTATTTCTCATCTAAGGTGTATTTTTGCTGCAGATTGGCTGTAATGCAGTCAGTTGGGCTCCTGCTGTGGTCCCAGGCAGTCTGATCGATCAACCATCTGGACAGAAACCAAACTATGTCAAACGCTTTGTCTCCGGAGGCTGTGACAACCTGGTTAAACTCTGGAAGTGAGTGTCTGTTGTCCAACATATCTGTAGTGATGATGCTTTTTGTTTAATTCGTAGTTAGGCAGATAGTTTTGCTTAACATAGTGATTTTAAGCATTTTTTAAAGATTCATGCTAAGTGTTTGATGTTTAAGTAATTTTATTTTGCGTATTTATTTTTGACATGCTAGTTCTTTGTGCAAGACAAAGACTGCAGAAATTTTACATTTGGCTCACTTTAAGCTTTTTTTTTGTTACATAATTAAACTTCCTTTAATATTTTCCAAATATATGTCCTGCTAGTTGACTTTCAACATCTTTTTGAGGTAAATAACTGGAAATTCTTATGTGAACAATTACCTATTAGTCAAGTATTTATTTTTGCATCCACTTAAAAACCAATATGTTATGCTTTAAGTGTTGCTTCCTCTCTGCAGAGAGGAGGACGGTCAGTGGAAAGAGGACCAGAAGCTGGAGGCGCACAGTGATTGGGTGAGAGATGTTGGCTGGGCTCCTTCCATCGGTCTTCCCACCAGCACCATTGCTAGCTGCTCCCAGGTATAGTTTTAATGTGTCAATCCCCGTGGGTTTACTAGACTAATTTTCTAAAGCATAGTTATTGTTTCTTTTATCCCTCATAAAAAACTAAAGAGAATGTAGTACTTTGCTTTGCACTCAATTATTTACTTTTACCACTAGGTGGAGCCATTAAACTATAATGTCTTATTGGTGGTTGGTGGTTAAAAAAAAAGTTATTTTAAGATTTTTCTTTCTATGGCCGGGCGAAATTAAGTATAACCACTAATAGAGTGTGACCTAATGAATGAGTTTCATCTGTGTAGATGCATTTTGAGTTAGTTTAAAATAGTTATTGAATGGGTTTTGTTAAGAATTAAAAATAGGAATAACTTGATTTAGCTCGTTAATTAATTCTTTGTCCCGAATTCCTGTGTCTGTGTAAGTGTGCAGAGAGAAAAGAGCAATCATACGACGTCAGACTTCAGATATTCAGAGTTTTATCCAGAGAAATTCAATCCAAGAAGAACTTTACAATAAGCATCTCACCTAGAGCAAAAGTCCAAGACATTACAAAACAGAGACAAAGAACTGAGTAAAAAAAGACAAAACAGAAGATGCATCCTCCGGGAAACTCTCACTCAGCACAAAGAGATTCCAACTTCTGCTGTGAAACAAACCATTTTTTATAGACTGCGTATTCTCCTCATTTAAATATATGCATTAGAATGCTGCTGCTCGCGTTCTCACTAGAACCAGGAAAATAGAGCACATAACACCAGTTTTAAAGTCCCTCCACTGACTCCCTGTAGCTCAAAGAATAGATTTTAAAATACTGTTGTTAGTTTACAAATCACTGAATGGTTTGGCACCACAATACATCAAAGATCTGCTGTTGTTGTATCAACCTTCCAGACCTCTCAGGTCTTCTGGTTCTGGTCTGCTCTGCATCCCCAGAACCAGAACCAAGAGAGGAGAAGCAGCTTTCAGCATCTATGGACCAAAAATTTGGAACAAACTTCCAGAAAACTGTAAAACAGCGGAAACCCTGACTTCTTTCAAATCTCAAGTAAAAACGCACCTGTTTAGAGTTGCATTTGAAATGTAATATCAGCTAAATTTTAGGTTGGAGTCCTTGTCAAATAATATCTTGACTAAAGTACCATAAATTCTAGGTTGGAGTCCTTGTCAAATAGTATTTTGACTAAAGTACCATAAAATTCTAGGTTGGAGTCCTTGTCAAATAATATCTTGACTAAAGTACCATAAATTCTAGGTTGGAGTCCTTGTCAAATAGTATTTTGACTAAAGTACCATAAATTCTAGGTTGGAGTCCTTGTCAAATAGTATTTTGACTAAAGTACCATAAATTCTAGGTTGGAGTCCTTGTCAAATAGTATTTTGACTAAAGTACCATAAATTCTAGGTTGGAGTCCTTGTCAAATAATATCTTGACTAAAGTACCATAAATTCTAGGTTGGAGTCCTTGTCAAATAGTATTTTGACTAAAGTACCATAAATTCTAGGTTGGAGTCCTTGTCAAATAATATCTTGACTAAAGTACCATAAATTCTAGGTTGGAGTCCTTGTCAAATAGTATTTTGACTAAAGTACCATAAATTCTAGGTTGGAGTCCTTGTCAAATAATATCTTGACTAAAGTACCATAAATTCTAGGTTGGAGTCCTTGTCAAATAGTATTTTGACTAAAGTACCATAAATTCTAGGTTGGAGTCCTTGTCAAATAGTATTTTGACTAAAGTACCATAAATTCTAGGTTGGAGTCCTGTCAAATAGTATTTTGACTAAAGTACCATAAATTCTAGGTTGGAGTCCTTGTCAAATAATATCTTGACTATTATCTTTGTCTTTTTTTTTGTTATGTTATTTTTTTTGGATATGTAGGTAATTTTTTTTTTTTTTTTTTTCCTGTTGTGGGCAACGGGGCCCGGCGAATACCCGTGGTTAAACGGACGGCGGAGTCCGGCGGTAACAGGCGCTTAAATTCCGTGTCAAAGGGAAGGGGGAAGAAAGGGAAAAGAGAGGGAAAGGGGAAGAAAAAAAAAAAAAAAAAAAAAACTTGGTATTTTATTCTATGTTGCATGCCTTTGTGTTTTGTGTTTATGATGTAAAGCACTTTGAAATGCCTTGTAGCTGAAATGTGCTATACAAATAAAATTTGATTGATTGATTGATTGATTAGGAGGTGTGTTCTTTTCCTTTGTGTGGGCTGTCTTAATGTTAATTTTAAGAGCCCCAAAAGCAGATATACGGCCTAGATCTTCTCGTACCAGCCGCTGTCCAGTTTGATATATGAGTGCAGCTGCAGCGCTATCTCTGCCTCAAAATGTTTTCACAAGAAAGTAGTTTGTATTTTTAACCAAGCTTGCACACAATGTAATGCTAAATAATGACTATAAGTTTGGATCTAATAAGTAACTAATTAAAAACATGCTTAAAGAAATATAGTTAATTCTAATATAGATAAAATTATTTATAAAAAGTTTTAAGATCCTAGTGAACTTTTGAACCATGCTCAGGAATTTAATTGCCTGGCAGACAGGCTCCCTATCTAAAGAGATTCAAGGAGTCTAAGACTGTTTTCTGATTAGGAATTTCTGTAAGTTCTGAGAGTCACCAGCTGTCCCAGTTTGGATCTGTATCTAAGTTTATCTTAACCTAAAAGTTAACTTATGTACTATTGTGCTACTTTAAAATTCTTATTTCAACAGTTTCTTCCTGTAAATGTAAACATCTGTTTTTTTATGTCACTTCCAGGATGGCCGTGTATTCATTTGGACGTGTGACGACCCTGCAGGCAACACCTGGACAGTCAAACTGCTCCACAAGTTCAACGATGTGGTTTGGCACGTCAGCTGGTCCATCACCGGAAATATACTGGCAGTTTCTGGTGGAGACAACAAGGTAAAATATACCATCACTTTCCTAAGAGTCTTGATAAGTAAAAATATAAATGTGCTTGAGATCTAAAAGCTGAAGGTAAAGATTAGAGACTTAGAGACTTAGACTTGACTTTATTGATCCCTTAGGAAGACTCCCTCAGGAAATTATTTGTGTGCCTTCTTGTGCCTGTAGGTGACGCTGTGGAAGGAGTCCATGGATGGTCAATGGGCATGTATTAGTGATGTCAGCAAAGGCCAGGGTGCAGTTTCCACCATTACAGACACTCAGCAGAATGAACAGTGACAACCTTACAGCAAAAAGTGCAGCTTTAAGAAATGGATTAACAAACATGCTGGACATTTGGACTGACAACAATATGCTCTCCAGAGTGACCGAGCTCAATCGGATCTGTTTTTGACTCCTGGATCTCTGCTAAGACAAGAAAAATGTTTCAACACAAGAAAGATTGAAGAATAAATGTTGTTTTTTTTTTTTTTTTATGTCAAAAAATTCAACCATGGTTTAGAATTTGTTTTTGTAGCATTCACTCCAATCTTAGTATTATAGTTTCTCCAACTCACACCACTTCCTCCTGAAAGCTGGTCCAAATGAAACTGTAGTTGTAAAAATATTCTGCTATCCCTCTCCTTGTAGTTCTGCTTTTAAACATTCCATATTCATTGCCAATAAATCATCAACCCACAGATGACATCAGCTTTCTTCAAAGCCTGTGTTAATCCACAGTTACTGTTCATTGATTCATCCAAATAAGCTCTGAGTTGAAAAGAAATATTCATGCATGTCCACATTTTTTTGCATTAGTTTTCTGATAACTCAGCTTCTTATTTCAGGCTGTGAACAGATCCTTGTATTCTCAGACCGCCAAATTTAGGCTTATTCTCTTAAGACTAAAAGCTGTTTTAACCAGTTTCAGATACAAGTTAACTGAATGTTGCGCTTTGTCACCATTGAATGCAACATAATTCTAAACAGTTTGGGTGTTTTACTTTTATGATTACAGATAATAAATGAGATGGTTTTTCACATTTGATGTAATTAAATAACTGTTAAAAATCTTCTGTTTTTGCATTCATTATGTTTATTATTAATCTAAAAATAAAATGTGAAAAACAAGATGTTTATGTTGGCTTAAATGAAAATCCTTTTTCTGAAGAAATCTTCAGTCATCTTTAAATTTAAACAACTAAATTCTTAGTTAAATTGATTTTCAGCAGAAAATGAAAACTGCAATGCTTTCTGAGTTTGTCCACCAGTCTAGAAGTAGTTGAAGATCTTCTTTGCTGCAGTATTTCTTCCTGCCATTCTGCTTGGTCCCAGACAGGAAGTCTGACTGATAAATGGCCATCCCAGGAAATCAGCTAAATGGATGTGGTCAACCTTTTGCTGTGCAGTTTTATTTTGAAAATACTTGTCTTTTAAAAGTTTGTGTTTTTGGTGTAGAAGTGCTTGAAAGAAGATACTTATAGGATATTTATTCTTTTACTTTCTTTTTCTTTAAGGGATTTTATTTATCTGAATAGGAAGCTTCTGGAATAACATTAAATGTTAAGAGTTACTGAAAAGTCAAAATGTCAAAGAAGAAAGCAATAAAGTGGGTAATGAATTATTAACGAATTTCTAACTGTTTACAAACTGACAGCAGGTGGACTGTGCTCTATCTGATATATCTCAGGTCATATAAATTACACAAAGGGAAAAAAGAGGAAGTGTCTATCTCTCATGTCCTAATTCCTCTTTTTTTTATCTGCTCTCATTCCTCTTTCAAAGCACCACTAAAATAATGAAACCATATTTTCAGAGGAAACTGCAACTTCAAATTAAGAACCTCTAATGAGAAACTTCCACAGAGCCTCATGGGAAAATCTAATAATTAGAAGATTAGAGAATATTATCATTGAAAAGAACTTTGCTTTTCCTGGAACCTACACAAACTCCACATGTAGGAGTTTGTGGGAGTAAATTTAATTAAGTAGAATATTTCTTCATTCATCCTGTGTTGAACTTTGGTCCCTCTGATCTGTGATCCAGAAAAGTGCCATGGTTCTAAATGCTTGCACAGAAGCAGGAAACTTGTTCTTCGTCTGAAATATATGCTGCTGGGCGTGCAAAAGTTCACATGCTTTGAGGTTGTGGGCAACAGAGACACTTCCTGGGTTATTGAAGAGTGAAGCGTCTGTTAGAAGACACATAACACTGCAACACACTTTCAAAGTCGTCTGATTTACCTCCAACGGTAAGAACTTTCTTCTACTAAGTTCACAATCTTTTCCTTCCTTTATTAGTCAGTAAATGTCATTTGGTGAGGTTAGTTTAGTTTTAGAATCTATAAAATAAAACATTGTTTTGTTTCATTGCTTTTGACAGTGTTGACTGTGGAATTGTGCTTCCATTCATTACTTCTTCAGTTAATTATTGTCATCCTTTCACTCCCACACATTGAAGAAAGAAACATCCAAATTATGCGTGAACAAACATTCATGCAATACATGTCTGGCGGTTTAACGACATTTTTTATCTTCTATTTTAATAAACACCCCGTCAGTTATCAGTGAGCTACAGTTGGCAGCATTTCCAGCACATGACCCATTTATTTGACTTGATAAAATATGCTTTGTCAAAAAGGCCTACTTCAAAATTGTCTTTTAAAAGTTTATTTTAGTTTAAGTGTTCACCACTTTGTTTTTGAAGCGCTTTCAAAGTTCCCCTTTGGACTTTGACAATTTTTTTTTTCCTAGAGCAGGTTTTCAAAATAATTTTTTGTTTGCTAAGCCAATCACCTCTGACCCACAATTCACTTGTAGATAAAAAAACGTTTCAGAGCTTACAAGACTAGAAGCATTAATAATGGTAATAAATGCCATTATTATTCAAGAATAATGGTAAATTTTCACTGGGTTCTTTTGTTCCTGTTAACATATTTTCAAATGCTGTTCTTTTGAGAAGTTTTAAGGCGTGGCAGTGTTTTGATAACTGTCTTGTTTTTCTAAGGGCTATACAAAGAGAAGCAACATTCATCTATCTGATCGGATGTCCAGTGTGAAGTGTGCACTGTCAGGATATCTCATAGCACTTCAATGCTTACCTCTGCTGGCATGGTTTATGGAGATGTTGAATTCATATTACAACAAGACTTAAACCTTGTGCACATTCCCAAAAGTCTAACTATTATTTTAGTTGGTCAGCAAATTAGCCTGACCCAAACCACATATCTATTGTGTATCATCATGAGGAAAGAGTAAGAAATCAGACCGTGCAGATGAGCGAAAGGCTGTTCTTACATTAACCTGGGCTTTCTGAACATCATAGAAAGCTACAAACTAATCATCATGCCAAACTCATGCTGAATTTCATGAAAAATGTCCCCCTTCCCAGTGTTCAGTGCAAATACTATTCATCACATTGACATACTTTCTAATAGATTACTCTTTCTGCATCAAAAATCAGTTTTTGTGTTGGACTTTTTGAAACAACACAATAAGGATCTTTTTGTCATTTTCCGTCCACAGTGTCTTGTTCGTTGGGGTGTTTTGACCGTGTGAAACAGTTGCTTCATACAACACAGCTGAGCCTAACCACATAGCTTCTCTGTGGTTATGTTCTCATTTCACCAAATTCCTCCTGCGTCTGTGTCTTTTCATTTGTTTCATTTGTATATTTATTTAAGTTATCTTTTTTGTCTCTAAACAGGTCAAAATGAAAGTCGCAGCCTTCAATGTGAGGAACTTGGGACATCAGAAAGTCACAGACAAAATGGTCTCCGAGTACCTTACTAAGGTAATGGAACTATTTTCATCTTTACAGCATTTAATAATAAAATATATGATGCAATGTAGACATATATTGTATACCTGGTTTGTGTTTCTCCCAGATAATCTCTCAGTACAGCATAATTGTGATACTCGAGGTGGTGGATAAAAGTGGCAAAGCCATGGAGATGTTGCTTAAAAAACTCAATTGTGCTGCGTAAGTATGAAATATCTTAATGTAGACAATGGATAAAACCCTTGACACTCATAAAAGCAATATGTGACATCATAATGTCTTCTTGTGTCGCTTTTGATCTAACAGTGATCATCCATATAAAATGATCTGCAGCACCAGTCTGGGCAGAAGCACCTACAAGGAGCAGTTTGTTTGTTTCTACAGGTGGGGAGAGATTTACTGCTAATAATGTTATACTTTGTTATATTAAACAATGAATGACATAAGCAACTTCATGTGGTGAGGATTTAGAAACTCAAAATCTAACTAATGTCAAAAGCAAACCACACTGTCCCTTTTTAAAGGAGGCAATTTTGCCTTTGTTTTGCTCTAAATAGGACAGAAAGTAAAAGCTGAAAGTAAATCTCCTCAAATTTCTGACTTAAAAATGTGTTTATCCAAAAAATTTGGATAAGAAAAAACTAACAATAGGTCAGATAATCATCAAACCTTTAAAGCAAATGGGCTACAGCAAAATACCAGACCATTTATCATTTATCAACAAGCTACAGGAAGCTCAGACAATAAATCTCACAGATTCACCAAAACTGGACAATAGCAGGTTTCAAAAAGCATCCCCTTGTTTAGCTGCACATTAAGACTGAAGGGCCACAATTAGGAATAAAAAAAAACATGAAAACATTGATCTATTCTACCTTGTAGTAATGTTTAAAGCTGCTGCTGGTGGTGCAGTAGTGACATATTATAAACCGAGTGTTATCCTCCAACTTTGCTGACCATGTCCATCCTTTAATGACCAGTTTTCAATCTTCTGGTCATTAAATGTGTGATGCCACTTAGGTTAGGTCAACTCAAACTGATTTTTTGAAAATACCGACATTAAACTCCAATGGGATCCACAGTGAGCAGGCCTCAATCTACTAAAACACCTTGAGAATGTTGTGAATTCTGGGGTCCTCATCTTGGATGTACATCTGACTAATCTTGACCAAAATGTTTGAGAGATGTTTCTGACACCCTGCTAAATCAATGCTTTAAATAATTAGTACAATTTTATGAAGTTTCTGATGCATTCTGAGAAGTAAAACTCTACAAATCCCTCCAGAAATTTGACTTCTCATGCACTCAAGAAGGTTTAAAATCGTATTAATAATACAGTAAACAAACTTTATTATTATTGTTTGTGTTTCAGAGAAGATGATGTCAAGCTTACAGCTCAGTATCAGTATGAAGACAATCAGGTTGGAGATGAAGATGCCTTCGCAAGAGAGCCCTTCATCCTGCGCTTCTGCTGTCCCTCCACAGTGTGTGCTGTTCCACATTAATGAAACGCCAGCTCACAGTGCACAAAACAGTTCATCAGACAATTTGCAAGGATATGATGACGGCTCTTTTTGCCAGTCTTCATATCCTACCTTTCTTTATGACAGATTCATTTGACTCATTCTATGATAGATAAGTTGTAAAAGTCACGATGAAACCCTTACTCTTACTCTCCCTACACTAAAAATACAATATTATAGTTTTACTTACAGGTTAGGTTATAAAATATTACAACATATTCTCAGCTAAATTCTTTTAAATCATCAAGATCATGGTTTCACTGCAGTCAAACCACTGTGGTTTATCTTTATAAGCCTGTAACATTTGTTTCATTCAAATCTAATGGTGAGTCATGAAAAATGTTCTTGTAATGAGCACTTCAGAAAGTCATACAGTAATGAATATATGGTCCTGTGCTGCACCAGAGAGAGCAGATTATCATTACTAAATACTACCATATGTCAGTTTTTTACAGTGATATGACAGGGTTTCTACACAGTTTGGAAACATATGAAATTTGACTAAATATTTTCCAAATGTGTATAAGTTTGAAAATGAAAGCTACTTTTATGCACATACTTTGATTCCTATATTACTGCATACAATTATAATCCATCCGTCCATCCAATGTGGTATGTGTTGCAGTTTGTACAGAGTAAATACCTTATGGATAACTGTTATAAACATATCGGCTATGAATGTATGGTCAAATGTTGTGTTTTATTTGGGGCTTAAAAGGACTGAGATCATGTGAAATAGGAGACATTTTGACATAACATGTGAAAACACT